GTTGTAATGTGACAAAATATGGAAAAGTTCAAGGGGTATGAATACTTTTGCAAACCACTGTATGTAAGAAGAATGAGGTTGATTATAAAGGAGTCACAGTTCTTTTTGTCAAAAGTAGTAAARCCAAGGATGACAGTCTCATAACTGAGATGAGTTTGTGGAGAAATAACAAATATAAGGTTCATTATATCATTCCAGAGTTTTCTGGTATGATGACAGTTCCAAAACAAATGAGACATATCTTCAGCCTGCGTGGAACAGAAGGAGCACATTACATCAATATTTTTTTTTAATCTAGACAAATATTGTTTAGTAGGGTAGCATCTGTGGACAGGTTTATGTCACTTCTTTAACTTTGTTTATTACAAAGAACTGAGGTAGAGACCAAACCTTCTTCCAGTTAATATTGTGCATGTATACCAATAAACAGTAGCACAGGGTTGAGAAATGATTTGTTGTTGAAAAAGTGAATGAATATTCTTATTTTGGAAGTCGACAATAGACAAATTTTAGCAACAGAAGTATCCATTAAATTGTACGAGATAGGGTCTGGTTTCTGATTAAAGATTCCTTTCATAATCTTTATGAGGCCAGAGGAAATGGCATCGAAGACAATCGCGAACTCCTTAGCAGTAACTGGAAATTTAAAATGAGACAGAAATTCACTGTAACTGAATAAAGATCCTTGAGTATTAAATAACTGTCTTACATACATTGTTGTTTTTTCTCCAGTTTTCAATGTAAAGGGACTTGTTCTTATGTAAAATATCTCTATTATGCCAAATGATATCTTTGTGAGGAGGAAAGTTGTGTTTATAAATCAATAACCAAGACAGCAAACATTGTTTATGAAAAACTGACAGTTTGACTGGGATTTTTTCAGGGTTATAGCTGCACTGTAAAAGAAAATCAAGGCCACCTAGTTGAGAAAATACATAATTAGGAATGAAGCTCCAAATTGAAGTGGGACGTAACAGATGTTGTTGTATCCACCTGACTTTTAAAGTGTTATTTAATGTAGAAAAGTCCAGGAAATTTAATCCCCCATTATATATGGATTNAATTTAATCCCCCATTATATATGGATTTATAATAACACATTTTTAAATATAATGAATTTTATATGTTTCCAAAGAGAACTGAATAACATCTGGTCAATCCTTTTACAGGTGCCGTTATCTACAGAGGAGATGCCATGTGAGCATTGTCTTTCCCTTCAGAGTTAAATCTCTGTGCAGCCAGTGGTTTTGTTTTTTCCTGGTTCTGTCAATAACAGGAGACAAATTTTCAACACATCTGCTTTTTCCATTTTTGGTAATGGTGATTCCTAAGTACACAACATTTTGCTTAACTGGTATGTTGCGTATAGAAGATGAAATACAATTCTTTACAGCAAAAAGTTCACATTTATTAACATTTAAATATAACCCAGAGGCTTTAGAAAAGGTTTGAATAATATCAAGAGCTAAAGGAACCTGTTCTGAGTTACGTAAGAAGAGAGTAGTATCGTCTGCTAGTTGACTTATTAGAAGATTCCTGTTTGCTATATTAATACCTTGTAAAGAGCTCGCACCAAGATGAGTTGACAGAAGCTGGCCAGCTAGGAGAAAGAGGTATGGAGAAATAGGGCATCCTTGCCTAATGCCTCGATGTAACTGAAATCTAGGGGACGATCCTGATTTTAATTTGATGGCACTGTTGCCATTAGCATAGAGAGTTTGAACGGCTTTGATAAAGAGGGGACCAAATCCAAATTTTTCTAGAGCTAARAATAGGAAGTCATGTTCTACAGAGTCAAAGGCTTTTTTAAAGTCAAGAAAAAGAACAAAACTATCATCATCAATTAAATCTCAGTAGTCAATCATATCTAGGACCARCCTAATATTATTAGAGATGCGACRTCCTTTCATAAATCCTGACTGGGTTTCATCAATAATATTATCTAATACGTTTTTAAGACGTTTGGCCAAAACCAAGGCAAGAATTTTACAATCGTTATTTAATAGACAGATGGGGCGCCAATTATCTAAAAGAAGAATGTCTTTTTTTGGCTTATGAATTAGAGTGGTAAGGCATTGAGTAAGGATGGCAGGAAGTGAACCTTTGTTAAAGCTCTCTAAATATACTTGAAGRAGAAAAGGGGTCAACTGATTAGAGAATAATTTATAAAATTCGGAGCTTAAACCATCTACCCCTGGAGATTTGTTAAGCTTGAGGTGTTTAATAGCTTCTGAAATGCCAAGAAAAGAAATTTCCTGATCACAGCAGAATCTATTACATTCATCAATTTTGTTTAAGATTTGGAAGCGAATCAAAAAACTGTGCAGCATAATCACTTTTAAATGAGGAGCTGTATAAAGATTTATAAAAGTTAGCACAGAAGGAGGCAATTTCACGAGAATCGTTGCAGACATTTCCATTAATCTTTMATTTGTGTGTAGTATTAGTATTAGAGCGACTCTTTTCTAATCTAAAAAATACGAGGAATTCTGTTCACCTTTTTCCAACCATGTTTTTCTAGATCTAATGAAAGCCCCTTCTGCTCTAATCTTGTACATTTCATCTAAACTATTCTGTAATTCTGAAAAAGTAGTTTTCTCCTGATCAGACATTTGAGCCACTGATTTCAGGGCAGTTAAATTGGCTATTATTGTATCTTCTGACATTCTCTTTTTCCTAGATATATCCTTACCACATTTTCTTAAGAACTTTCCAATTTCAAAAGTTCCCAATTTCACCCCAAAATTTTCTCAGTATTTGCTTTGGACCAATATCTATTAAAGATTTGAGAGCATGGATAACATAGTCATGTTTTAAAATTGAACTATTTAGTTTCCAAAATGAATAACACTGTGTAGTATTTGATTGAAAATTTAAAGTGATATGAATGACACAGTGATCTGTAAGGGGAGTCAGCAAAACATTACGATTTGATATTTCTGATAMATGGTTARACAYCAGCCAGTAATCAATGCGAGATTGGAGTGATCGTTGTTTATTRTGCCGTGTGTACATTTCGACAGCCTTCCATTGAAGCATTTTTGTCCTCGAAGTTAGCTCATTCACGTCGCTAACTAAGCTAGCAGCGTGTGCTCCCTTTCGTTTAGTTTTAGTAGAGACAAAAAGGCAGTCTATGGCAGTATTATTACAAAAACAACAACAACAACAACAACAACAACAACAACAACAAAAACAGTTCGGCACTTGAAGGTGATTACACGTAGTGCACACACCCTGCAACCTCTTTCTTGCTCAGCCTCCTACTACAAGTAACTAAAGACAGCATTTTTTCACTCTGTTGACTGAAACACCAGCTTATTGCAAACACAACACAGTGATACAATTTTTAAAACTTAACATTTCAATATTGTTAGTCTTTGACTAATAAACATATAAACACTCGCATACCTTTACTGATCTCTCAGACGTGAACTTACGAGAAAKATCGCGAGATTTTAAATTAGCTTAAAACAGAAATATTGTCGCTAGCGCCATCTAGCGCCTCGGAGTGGAAAACCAGTTTTTCATTGCTTTGTTTGAACCACCAGGTGGGAGCAAAGGCTTTCTGCCCAATTTTGATTAAGCTCAGTAAAATATAATTTAAAAAAAAAAAGTAAAACGTAATTTTAACATTGCCTTAGTAGCCTTGTGAATGTCAATGTGTTTTTAGAATAGAATAGAATAGAATAGAATAGAATAGAATAGAATAGAATAGAATAGAATAGAATAGAATAGCTTTTATTATCCCTCAATGGGGAAATTCATATGTATCAAAATATATATATTTTTTATGCAGAATTTGATGCACAAGTAACCCATGTGAGTCTATTTTGGACACACTTGGTTTAATGAAAATGAAACTACAGCTATTATGTTTCCCTTTTGTTTTAACTCAAATTACACTGCATCCACATAGCCAACCCATTAACTCATTCCACTTTTATTTACCACCTTATATTATAAAGTTTCTATAAAATATTTTGGAACCTATTTTTTATTTCCTCTGAAGCTCTTCCGACATTTTGATTTGTCTGGGTTTGGTCTGTTGTGCTTTTAATTTTGCATGGACTCTGGTCTTGCTCCATCTGTTGTGGTCTTCTCTGCAAAGTTGCTTGAGTAACCGGACACACATCCTCCCTGTGTGAATTAATAATTCAGAAACKGACGAAAATTTCAGACGCTGGTATAGTATCTTTTAGATGCTGTTGCACAAGCAGTAGGTGTTCCCCGGKTGCTAGAAAATGTCCAAAAGACGATGGGTGGAATTCAAGATCTGCCAGACCATAAGCTGTTCAGCACCGGTCAGCCGGAGACCCAGAGCATCTTCCCCTGCTGCTGCTGCTGCTGGTATGTTTACAAAASAGGAATTAAAAAAGCAGGAATAATAAGTTCATTATGAAGATGCAAGAGGTAAAAATACCTATAGACTCTGTGAAAATTAGGAATTCATCATTCAGTTCTGGCTGTAGAAATAAGGGCAACACTTTCGTTTTTTGTTACATTTGGTTGGAAGGTAAACAATAAAAAGAATAATATAGTAGGCAAGTAAGATAGTTTTATAAATTTGTGTTTAGCATTTCTTCAACTTCACAATATTCTTTATAAAACATAAAGGAAATAATATAAAAGTACAATTTAAAATATTTTTGAAGTATTAAATCTTGTCTAAGTGAAAAAAAGTTAAAAAAATAATAATAACAGTTCAAATAAGCTCAAATTCTTTTTATTTAAAGAATGTTTAATTCAAAGGATTTTATTAATATGTTTGTTTTGTTTGGAGTTGCTCAGTAAAAAAACACTGAGCTTCATTTTTCTCATCTTATCCTCCATCTGTCTTAAAGCCGATGCTGCTTTCTCTTCAGTCCTTGAGCCACAACAGCTCAGATATTTCCTCTTTAGAGAAGAATGCTGCACCTTTAATCTTAGAGCAATCTGATCAAAAATCCTGCTGTAAAAAGGTAAAACTCAGGGCCCTTTTATGTGCAGGCATCAGCTTTGAAATGAAAATATTTAGTATCAGAAAGAAAATTCAACTGGGACAGCTTTGGCAGCCTCTCCTCCCGTTGCCATAGAAACTGGGCAGACTAAACATAATKCAGACTGGAGGTTTTACAGGCAAATTTATGAGATTATAGCTTTCAAATATCCATCCATTTTTCCATTTTCTTGCTTCTCCTTTCTGTGTCCAGAGGGAGCTGGGGCCTGTATGTCCAGCAGTTAGTGTCTTCAGTCCATCAAAAAGACAGGTGGAAATAAAATACAAAGTTATGAAGTGATATGAAGAAGTTATGGATGAAAAAAAAATCTTATAGCTGAGGGCGTGCCATCCGACAGAACTTAAAAAAAGGTAACAAGTAAAAACGTGCAGAGAGCTAAACAAATATTTTCTCTCTTCGCAGGAGATTTTAAATTGAAAAGTGAAAAAAAAAGGCTATTTGATTTCTTTATGAGTTTATTTCTAAAAGTCATGATGGATAAAACATTTCTCATTCTAAATCTTTATGCATATAAAAACTATAGCCTTGGTCATTCAGTTTTCATWCCAAATAAAGTTCTTTAACAAGCAAGTAAACAGTTAGGTTTTTTTGTATTGCAAATTTATATCACATCTATGTTGCCCACCCAAAAGGAAATGGCAAAAAAGGATASATTTAACGTAATTAGTAAGGTTGCACAGCGTCCAGGGATTTAGTACTTCAATAACTACATAAAAATGCGAAAATGTAAATAAATATGAAAATTTAAAAAATTAGAGTACCTTTATCGGTATAAATGCATGTAAAAATACAACTGCACAGTTTAATAATATTTCATGGTTTAAAAAATACATAAAATCCTCTCAGACATAATTTAGAATGCAGATTTTTGCGTTTTAAACAAAGAAAAGTAATAATTCCGATAGCAAGTGAAGCCACCACCAGTGAACAGTCAGTGGGCGTGGCTTTGAATGCACCTACTCTACGTCATCATTTGGGTCTCATGTTTACGTGGAAAACATGGCGACGGACTACAATCAAGGCCACTGACTTCAAACAGAGCCGCGCAAGACTTATTAGCCTTTTAGTTTTTAGTCTTTTTTTTCCCGGGGATTTTTCGTATGAAGCAGTTTCCGTCTCGTTTCAGCCACGGACGCGGCGGAAATGGGAGACGAGGAAAGGCAAAAGAAACTCGAGGCCGGCAAAGCTAAGGTACTGATTAAATGTAACGTTGCTCTAGTTGTGTTAAAGCTAAAGTTGTAACCATTTGTTGTTGAGATGTTTTCCCCCCTTCTGCGGTTATGTCTGTCAGCTGTTTTTAGGTCCTCCTCCCTGCTCTCCCCTCCATATCACCCCTCTGTCTCAGCTGTCATGCGCCCTGCTCCTGACAGCTGAGTGTTAGCATTACTGCTGCTAACCCCTTGTTATGCAGCATTTCTGACATTCCCTCCTCAAAGCTTTCATTTATATTTCCAAAACTGACATGGCAGAGTGAAACAGGCAATGCTAACTTAAGCACCGGCGAGTCGAGCCGTCACATCGTTATTTAAGGCTCCTGAACGCCACCTGAAGTGACTGACAAGCTGGTGTAACAGGATTTGCAGGGTATATCCTCAGCAAGCTAGAAAAAGCACTGCTCCTTGTACCAAACTTTAAMAACTATTGACAGACTTATACAGCAACTCATTTAAGGATACTACTTATAAAACCTGCGTGATTTAAAAAAAAAATCCTTTATCATGTTCCCCATACTTCAGATTTCTTCACATAAATCTAATCTCCTGTATCAYTTCTGTCAATAAATCCCAGCAAAGCTGAATCTCAAACTCGTCAGAGCAGTGTAGTAGAGGTAAATCTTTTCATATTAGCTTTGACATGAGTGAAATTTGTATTACACAGATAATAACTAATACTACATCCTGAAAGCCACGTGCACCTTGGGTATCAGAGTAGAAACTGAACAAACCATTTCAAATTGTGCCTCAGACAGAGACCAAGATAGTTCTGATAGTTTTATCATGTGATAAGTTCATTTGTTGAATAGATTCTCTGTAGATATTTACACAAAACATACTAAGATAATTTTATTGAAATACGTCAGACAAAATCAGGGCTGATTTCCATTGATCCTGTAGAGAAACAAATCACGATCGTGCATTTGTTTTTTGTCACTGCAGAATTAATCAAAATTTTAGTCCTCCAGCTTTTAAAGTTAGTTTGCGGAGACTGCATGAAAAAGCCTGTCCCTGGGTATGTTTTGACTAAAAAGGGGCCTCTTGTTGCTACAGGCTTGTTTGATACACAGTGCTATGTCACCATGTCCTCACATGCAGTTTATAAATCCAGGGCATGGTTTATTTTTTGATAAAAGTCAGATGAGACCTTGCAGGTTTAGACTGAGCTGATAAATTTGAAGGCAATGCGTTTCCAAACTGATGACAAAATATTTGTGCAAGTTTTGCATTAAAAAAAACTTAAAATTCTCAATAAGCTTTAGGTGGTAATTATGAAAAAAGTGACTTATTCATTGCAAGCAGTTCAGAAGCAAAAAAGCAGTGATACTGAATATGGCAAGTCAAGTGAATGACAGGTGTTATTGTTGATGCCAGACTGAAGAGTAAACTGTCAGTCATCTATTGTGCAGCACCAAGACATTCGCTTTGAGTCACACCAGATAAAAAAGGAAAGTCAAAATTGCGGTTTGATGTTGCTTGACTATTGTTTCAAGCCATGAGYAGCAGATGTGTTGTAGCCTTTTGTTTGCCTTCAAAGTGGAGCATAATCGACAAGTGAGTGGCTGTCAACAATGAATTCATTTATTTGAGATGTTATTTAGTCAGAAAAGGACCAAGAAACAAGAAGCTAAAGATTTCCTGCTACCGTGGAGAAACTCAAGACGTTGTGGCACCATTTACGTTCACCAGATTGCAGCTCTGATTTGATATTTTAGTTTCATGAATTTTACAGATACTTGAGTTTTGATTACTTTTTGCCTTTTTTCCAAAAAAAAAAGTTCCTATTCTGCAAATAAATAATTGTAAACCTAAAAAGGCTTTGTCAGCGTTCAGATGGCCTACAGTCAGTATCCCCATCAGGTGCTCTTGTAGGTTTTGAGGACAGGTGATCTTCTTAACTTAAATAGTTAATCACTCAGCTGTGTATTCTTCTGTGTGATGAACAAACTGGAACAGATTACACAGCTCATTAATTGGCTCAATTGACCCCGAAGGGTTTTCATTTCAGGCTGCAGTAGTTATTGCATGCTGCGTTATCACAAAATTTGTCTTCTATCATTCACTGCTGGTTTACAGAAAACTGATTGGATGCGATGACCTAGCAGATTCCTAACCTGGACAGTGACAAAACTCTAACTTTGCAGTTTTGTAAACTTGTAATGTGGGATTTTAACTTTCCAAACAGGTGTTTTTAGTTGATGCATTTTGTGACCAACAACACGGGGAAACTGAAAGAGAAACAATGGGCCTCATGCAAGAACATGTTCATATTCTTATCCTAAATTTCTCTTACTTTTGTTCGTACAAAGGGTTSGTACAAACATGCCACGTCAGATTCAACAAACTCTTCTATCTTCAGGAAAAGTGTGTAAATGAGCTGTGTAAATTCCACCTGTTCGTATCCAGCTGCTCGTGCATGCGAGAGGAGATTAGCATAATTACCACCCCAAATACACCATATAAGGCTATGTTTCCTGCCTCAGAT